AGAAGACCTTGACATACTAGCAAAAAATACGTCTCAGCTTACTAGAGGAAGCTGTGAGCAGTCTGTACATGTACACGCTAAAGCCAGGAAAAAATTCAGGTGAGGAAAAAACCTTTCTAAATGTCTTAACAAAAAGTAAAAAGTGGATTAATCAAAGGAGTAGTTTTTTTAGGTAATCAATATGAGAACATTGTACCATAAACAGATAAAGAAGATGTTCGATATGGATTTTTTGAGTGTTTTAACTCTTTTTTTCAGTTTAGCACCAGTGAAAGGCTAGTAAGGTGCTTTCTAACAAACCATGTTCTCTCTCATTTTCGTATTGGCGAACCCCAGTCAGCTGCCTAGTGTAATTATAATTATAGCTATTATTCATTGGCAAAACTTAACCAGCTAATAAAGCGAAATGAAGGTCTATCAGGATCGTCTAAAACCGCGTGGTCTATGAAGACTATTAAAAAATAACCGGCTCATCAAGTTCACTTTCACTGTAAACAAAGCATTTACATTTTGATTGCTTCACCCAAAAACAAATTTACAAACCAGGAGAAAAATGAGTTTCGTTGCTTTGAACCGTGAGTCCATGGTCGCATGTTTGCCGTAAACAAAGGGCAAACCACGTTTTTGACTGAATAGTACGCAAAATTCAGAACTGGTAAGTTTCGTCCCGGAATCGCGTTTACCATATCAATCAGTTCCATTGACCGAAAAACGGTCGCAAAGACCGGAAACTGGTTAATTAAAGATGGCTTTGAAGACATGGAACTCGAATTTTCATTTTAGAATAGTCCGTCCGGAAAAATAAGGCTTAACCTTTTCAGATGTTCCGTTGCTCCCAGAAATTTTCCGCTGGAACGATACAAAAAATCGTGTTCCATTTACTTTCCAACAGAATTTTCCCGAAACGTTTTGTAAATGCTTAACAGCTAATGTTTGTGTTGTCGAATTCAATCGAGAAAGTCAAGACAAACAGTAGTTTCCCGCGATCTGTCATACCACTTTTCACCATGCTTTGATCATGTGCAGTTATATCCCGGGAGGGAAAAGGTAGCCGAATTTTAATTAAATACAACAATGGGTATTATTGTCTGGTAACGGTTTGTTTATGACAAAAAAAAATCATAAAATACCTGTCAGTTAAGGACAGTACCCTCAGTTTTATCACCCTATTTACGTTTTGATTGCTTCACCCAAGAACAAAGTTGCCAACTAAGAGAAAGATGAGTGTTTAGGTTTTCTAATGCATGTAACCTTTAAACAAGCCCTCTATTGGGTGAAAGGGCGGAGATTACAACTACTCTGCTAAAATTACCCCCGCAAAAAAGCTCTTTTTATAAGCATTATAATATAAACTCCAGCTTTATGAGATGCCTGCATGAACCATCTATATCCTTTTCTTAACTGATTACTCGAAAACCTAGCGCTCAGTAAGTTCTAGATCTGGTTTAAAAACATCAGTCTGGAAGCCTCATCTTCGTGAACATGGTGCAATGGAACCCCGGTAACTCGAACTCTGAAGGGAAACGAAAAACAGTTCGAGATAGCGGGGAATTCGAGTTAACGGGGTAAATTTCAGTGAAACTTTGATCAAGGGAAAGGAAATCGTAGTTCGAGTTACCGGGGAATTTGAGTTATCCTATTTTGAGTTATCGACGCTCTACTGTATTACGTTGTTATCATAATCTGACCTTTATCAAATTCGGGACTTGTGTTTATCTTGAAGACGTCAAAATTTGAGCGCTAGTTAACTTTGATCTCGCTTTAAACGGATTCAAGGCAACGTGGATTATTATTAAGGTCATTTAGTAATTTTACATTTTAGCCAGGGTCTCTCTGAACGGATTGTGAGTAAACTGTCCAGCCTTACAGAAGTGCAAATTTTAATGTGAGTCTTGGAATATGTACCTAGTAACCACGGCTTTTTTACAGATATATTTTCTTCCCGGGCCCAGCTGATAAGTTGCATAACGATATGCATGGCCGGGCTGGACCAGACAGTTTTTATTTAACCAGATCTCAACCGGATCCTGCACTCCTGCCAACGTCCGCCAAAACAGGGCAGTTTGCTAAACAGTTTGAGTCGGGTTGCACGCGATATAACTTTTATGACTTGTATAAGAATGTTAAGCTGCCCCTGACCCGTGAGATTCCTACGCGGATTGCCCTAGAAATAATAAAGAAATTGGCTTAAAATATCGTTGAAAGGATCTTTCATGTGTTAAAAGACTAAGTTTTTCGTGCAGATATCGTGGACAATTTAAAAGTTTGCCTAGAATATCGCAGGAGAAACTAACAAGATTGGCCATCAATCGTGAGATTAAGAACTTTTTTAACTTCGAATTTGAAAAAGAAGCGGTCAACAAAACCAGCCGGAAAATTTTCAGTCGACACAAAGCAAACTTGTGACTTAAGGGAGCCATTTGTTTGTGACAGTTGCAAATTGCTCCACTCAATGAAACTGTTAAGTAATGGTCCAGATAAGAAGGAAAGGGCCAAAACGCAGTGAACACGTCGGAATGTAAAAAGGTGCTAACTTTACTATTGTCTCTACTAAGGTTCTGATTGGTTTAAACATCAAATTTTACGAAATCTTCGCAAAGCAGCATGTATATTAATCCCTTTTTTTCTATCCAACTTCCTTATAACAAAATCTCGTTGCAGTGGAAGGTGCAAGGCTGCCACCCAAGGAACATCCGGTTTACTTAAGGTATTACTTTTTCGGTAACAGTGTTTATTACTCACTTCTTGCACTCGCACAAAGGTCTTTTTATAATTGATAAACAGCGTATTGTTGGGTTGATATACCACAGGTAGCCCAAGGTCGAAATATGAGCATCGGCGAACATCGGTATTGTTGCGTAACATTCGAAATATAAAGATTTGTGTGGAGAAAAAACCTATCGTTTCTGTAACCTACGGAAATGAAACGATTTCAATAAAAAACAGCTTACCTTACTTAAAATGTGTGTTACGTCTCTCCTATGTGGTCCACGGGCCGATTTATGGCCTTTTTATAGATTTTATGTAAACGGGTTTCTCTCTATATAAAGGTTAGAGAGAAAACCGTTTACATAGAAACCCATAAAACGGCCATAAATCGGCCCGTGGACCACATAAGAGAGACGTAACACACATTTGAAGCAAGGTAAGCTGTTTTTTATTGAAATCGTTTCATTTTCGTAGGTTACAGAAACGATAGTTTTTTTTCCCATACAAATCCTTATGCTGCGAATGTTATGCAACAATGCCGATGCTCGCCTATGCTCATATTTCGAGCTTTGGCTACCTTTATTTGAATAAAGTAATATCATCAGTTACAAAACTTCTTTACGTGAAAGCCGGATTGAAATATAGAAATACTCCAAAAGCAATATGTAGCGACTGTCGGTGGCTGAGACTAAATCAACAATGTTTTAATTACTGTCTTAAATTGTATTTGGTTTTTATTGTTTCGAGCCGATGTTTAGTTTTTAAAAGGCCCTCCGGGCTAGGGTACGTCAATGTACCATTGTCTAGATAATCTATATTTAGTGTTCCATCTTATTTCGCGTTTTCCTGTTTGCACGGAACACCAAGGCACGGTTTAAACATATTGAGGCAATAATTTGCAGCCAAGTTTTAAAGCACGAGACAAAACAACTAACTAAAACGGAAACATTCGTTTCAACCATCTTGAAAATAAAACCGATTCACGTCACAGCGATGCTTGGCCACAATGGAAGCAATAAAAACAATTTGAAATAAAAATAGTCTTCGTGCCTAAGGCTTAATTAGGTAAGATGACCTGAAAAGTAAAATGCCTCTAAATGTTGAGTAAATTGAAGATTATGATAGAAACATAATTTAATCAAGAAATCAAGGCGGGATTTTTTTGGTTTTGCAAACTTCACCGGTACCCATAAAACTGCTGGCGCATTTGGAATAGTCAACGCGGATTTTTCTTTTGCGTCCTTTGTTTTTTTCTTTTCGCTGAGTGTCAGTGGCGTTGAGACCACCTAGCCTGTAAAATAGATTCAGTAAAATAACATGTAAAATACGAGTTTTAGAGATGCTGCAATGAAAAGGTCAATGCAGGTTAATTGTGTTTAATATGTTTAATTTAGTTCAAGCAACAAAAAAAAAACACAAACAGCGGTGGTCAGTGAACTTTCGCTTTTTTATAGAAACTTGACTTTTTGTATTCTAGTCAACACGCATGTAAATTTTCAAATAAAGTTATTAAAAGTGACCGTTACTGACTAAGACAAAACTATTTACACAAAATTGATAAGGGCTTCTGGAATTGAGATTAACCAAATTCTTAACAGTGTAATTAGTATGTGTAATCAAATGGTGACGAGTGAAACTGGGGTCGGAATAATTTTACGCGCGTTTTCTCTAAATCCAAGAGAAATTATGGCTCTTGCCAAATCCTAATAATTTGCCGAGCCTTTAGGGACATTAAAGCTACATCTGGCTTAATTTCAGACTTTTTCAGAATTTTTCGACGAAATACCTGATAGAATCCTTCTCGATGTGCTCTTTCTAAAGCGTCTTTTAAAGCCCTAACCAAAACCTTGACGCCATCTTGGCACTGAACTTTGCCATGCTGAAATTTCGCACCAAATCAAATTAAGGAGTAATTTTTAAGAATCAGCGGTTTTGTCAGGCATCAGCGGTTTGCAATCTTGAACAGCAAAGTAGGACAGCCAGGTGCGAAAGGTTTAACCGCTATTGAATAGATCCTGATTAAGTAGCTAAGAAATAAAAAGATACGAAACAAATTTCACCAGGGAGCACTAGCCATGGCAAATTTTGGGGGATTTTTTTTTTTTCAGGCAATAGCATTTAAAAAACTTGAATAAGAGTTGTCTTAATGAATTTTTTCAATCCATATCCAATTTTCCTATCCATAAGAGCATTATACGACGGAAATAATTTCAATGTTCAAATAAAACCTTGAATAACAAATGGCAAAACTGTAAACAAAGAGAGCAAATAGCGTGAAAAAAATAATGGCATTCCAACCGATAAGAAAATCGCTGCCTGAATCGGTTGAAAGCTCATCACGAAATATTGCATGCCATTTCTTTTGGCTATCGACATCGCTCAACCTCTCGACCACAGCCAAAGCCGTCAATTCCATCTTTTTTTAGATTTGCCTCCACATCTGTAAAAAAAATAGCCAAATTAAAAATTATACCTGTTTTTCTTGAAAACGTTTATCGCTTCCTCAAATTTCCGCAGTGTCAAACAGTCTCACAGTCTCAAAACTCTTGCAGCAACGCAACACAATTCGCAAAATAACCCAGTGTTTCTTACCGCGCTGACCACCAACCAAGATGTACAGTATTTCTAGTTTGCGGGCAGCGAGAAAAGCTCAGTGGTCGGTGTCTAGGCTTGTCTTTCCCACAGACTATTGCAACTTTCAAGTTAATCTGGCGTGATCGACAAAACTTTGCATCGCTTTTAACTGCTTGTTTGACAAATGAATAAACCCTTTGTAATTAATATTTGAATATAATAGCTCTTTTGGGACTTTTTACAAACCGAAGTGACCGATTTCTCTACCTTTTCATTTACTTTAACAAGCAAATTTCCTACCCTTTCATATACTAGCCTCCCACGCAGGCATTTTTAGGAAGGCTCGCCGTATTGATCGTCTCTCCCCACAAACGCCTGCTCAACCGCGAGAACAACCTTCTTTTCCCACACTTAGCCCAGTCAAACTGTACCTTCCAGATTCTAAAAGGTTGACCTTGACTGCAGGGTAACCCGATAATTACTCGATCTGCATGAAACACTGGAGACGATTTATGACCTCTAATAAATGTTAGACTCAGAGCGGCAAAGTAAGATTTATATTAGTCAGGTTTTAGAATACTCCATGGAGGCGTATGTGGGCGAGTGGTTAACAGCTCGAACTCTGGATCTGAAGCTCCGGGGTTCAAGCCTCGCCCGTGGAGTTGTTTCCCTAGACAAGAAACTTTATACTTCACTTTGTCTCTCTTTACCCAGGTGGATAAATGGGTACCGGCCACATACTGATGGGGGGTAACCCTGCGATGGACTAGCATCCCGTCCAGGGGGAGTAGCAATACTCCTAGGTTTGCTTCATGCTACGGAAACCGAAAATAAGCTCCGGCCGTGTGGGCCTTTTGGCTCGTGTGCCTTTACCTACCTAGAATACTTATATTGCACTGCAAAACTTTAGCGAAGGAAAGAAAGAAGGAAAAAGGTAACTCTAGGGTCACATTGTTACACTACCACGAGCTTATTAGTCGTGTTTAGACTGTCAACGCTTTATTTGAAAACTGTTGATTAAACAATGGGAAAGGAATGTTGTTCTCGGTTGAGCAGGCGTTTGTGGGGAGGGACGAAATACGAGCTCCCCTAAAAACGCCTGAGAGGAAGGCTATTCATATACCTAAAGCCTGTGAAGCTACCCTTTTCGGCAGGGGCTCCTCCCTTGTAAGTCATCATAGGGAGTACCGCCCAGCACTTCTCTCTGCCCTGCGGCATTAGTCAGCGTGATTGGCGTCGAAAGGGGAGGACAAAGGAGGAAAAAGGGCGTTTGCCACGCATGCTATTCGGCATTATTGATTTGTGTTATAAAATCAGTGATTGTAGTCTACGAAGCCGCTTGCTGTAACTCCAGCGGCAACTATACTTAACGGATTTACAATTACCAGTAAAGAAGCTGCAGAATACGTAAGTTCTCAGAAATTAAATATTTGCCAAATGATAGTTTTCACACTTAATAGATGTAGATCTTCTTCTAATTTTGTCAGTTTTGTGGACAGAAAAGTCGACTAACTAATTTTTTTTTCTATATACGTAATATTGTAATGATCTAATATAAACAGTTTGCTTCGTATTGCTTTGTAGACCTCTCCTGACGTTTTTGAAGAGTAGTTTTTCAAGAAAAAAAGCGTTTTGTGGTCCGGGTATGACGCATATCTAAAATTAACGTCTTTGTTTCACATACATGTATGACGACTTGCGGGTTCGTTAACAGTGCATTATTTAATTAGTTTTTTTACAATCACACGGTCACGGCAAACAGTTTCAGATTTATTTCTGATATTGGTCTCGTTTTTTGTAAATTAATAAGAGTAGCTTAAAACAGAGATTGTCTCAAAGGCATGAAAGAACCTTCCATTTTCCTATGAAAACGCTGGAAATGACCTTTCCGAGGACCTAAAAATCAAAATTTTTCGGGGGAGCATGGCCCCATAACTCCTAGGATGGTCTGCCTCCCGCGGACATTTATCCGAATTTCCCTTCACTAAATCCTGGATCCGCCCAAGCGATCACTTTCGCGCAAAACCACCTTACGATCCTTACGGGCCCTCTTTAAACCGGCAGCTCAGCAAAGAGAACATCGAAAACTGATGTTCAGTAAGGCATATTTTCCTAAAAGATACGCTAATGTAATAACATGTATATTTTGTGAAAGGGAGGGACTTGAATTCTGAAGTGCGGTTGAATGACCAACAACCCGTGGAATGCAAATTTTAGGAAATTCTAGATACTTATATTCGTGTTATATGCTTTTCAGAATACATATTCCGATAGCTAGATAAAAGATCAGTAAGCAGTGAAATTGCCAAATTTTTGTCATATGTTCACAAATTGTGCTGCTGGTCAAAGCGATACCTGGAACAAAATTATAAGAGACAAGTATTGGATGAAATGTAGAAGCGCTATTAGGTGCTATTGATATGTAAAACGAACAATAATCAATACACCTTCGCCTTTCACGTTTAATTAGCATGACCTGAAAAACGTCTACGTGCGGTAAATTTATTTCTCGCGTGGGGAAGTTGTAAGCTTTCTATAAATAAAATGTGGACCTTTCAATATCCTTTTGTCAACTTTATTCCAAATGCAAGGTATAAATGTATAATAAATATAATAAATTCGGTGTTATAGCTTAGAAGCCACTGGAAAACGTATACGTTGAAAGGTAAGACAACTGAAACCGATGTGCTTAAAATGTTTAGACGAATTAGTGTTCAATAATTATAACGATCGATTAATCAATGAACCGGACTGATTTTTCAGGGGTTCGTTTCATTCAAACTGCAGGCTTGCAGGCCGACATTACTTAGCAGTTATCTATATGTAGACTACGAGCGGGCTAAAATAGCAATTTTTTGCAGTTTTATATAAGTAGTCTCTACGTTAACACCTGTGTTTGCCGTGGATTATTTCAAGTGGTTTCATATTTTGAGTGAAGCGCCTGTGATAGGCAAGGGCACTTTGGAAACGGATCACTTTCACTGTGAACAAAGAATATAAACTTCAGTATCCAAGAAATTGACCTATCCAGGAAAACTTGAAATAAATTTATACTTTTTTGTCTCACAACTTTTGTAGACTGGATTCACTATCTGAAAATTCCATTTTGAGTGGGTGCATGCGATCCGATACAAAACAACCTAGCAGAAGCATCAATGCTTAACTTTTCGTACCTGGCCCATTTCAACATTTCTAAGAGTTTTAACACGGGAACAGATACGTACTCACAAACAACTAAGAAAACAGATCACAGGCATTTTTTAAAGTCATAAACTAGCTGCGTAATGTGTCAAATGGAAACTAAAGTTAACTAAATTCATTGGCTTTGAATACTCCGCAGTCAAAACTGAATTATATGCGTGAATGATTCTCTCGAGGACCAAAAATACTCAGTTCTAAAACATGCACAGTTTGACGCACAAAAGCTTCACTATCATACTATTCTCATTCGTATATAGTTTATTAAAACTGCCCACATATGATTTGTGTTTCTTAACAAAAAAAAATTTGTCAGGAAGACCAAAGAAAGTCGTAAATATTTATGTAATAGGTTATTGCTTATGATCTATATCAGAGTACAGGTACACAGGGCTTAAAAGAAAGCGAGGTAATTACAATTGATTTTGGACTTGCTGCGAGTAATGACTTTGATACTGTAAACGAAAAGGAATCACTTCATCCAGCAAATCACATTATTATTATTATTATTTTTATAGTGTTTGAAGTGAAAACGCAGGATGTGCATCTTGTTTCTCTACTTCTGTGACAAGCCGACTCCTAATGGATATCGCCTTATTATGGCCTCGAACAGGGATGAATTTTACTTTAGACCAACGGCAAGAGCTGATTTTTGGGAGGAAAACCCCAATATAATTGCAGGTATTTTTCCTTCTATTCAGGCGCGAAAAAACATTCGGTTTTTTTTTAGTTTTTGTTTGTTTTGTTTGGTAGGTGTTAGCGGTGGTGGATTCAGGGTGGGGGGGAGTGGAAGTTGGTGGTTGTTTTTTACCCTCCCAATTTCTCTTCGCCTTTATCAGCTGCAACTCATAATTAAGAGAAATCAATCATTATATTTCAAGTTTCAACGCCTTGGATAGTTTTATGATCACACCGAGAGTCTCCTTAGTGAAAGCGTATTTATGACACCGTATATTAACTGAAAACGGAAAGTATATACACAACTTAGAGACCATGTGAGTGGTAGCCTGAGAAAAGAGCCGATATTTTGCGACGCTACCACTGGTTTCCCTGCAAAATGACGTCTGAGAAACGAGCGCAGAAATTCCATACTGATGACGCGTCACTACCCACATCTGGGTAGTGACGCGTCATCAGTATAATAATGATAGACAAGTATGGAATTTCGGTGCTCGTTTCTCTGACGTCATTTGGCGGGGAAACCAGTTGTGGCGTCGCCAAATGTCTGCTGTTTTCTCAGTCTTTGTGAATAGTTACATTACTTCTTATATCATGTCTGGTTGTCATTGGACTCAAGCCGGAATTTTTTTTGATCAAAATGAAAAAAATTAAATTTGGAAGAGAAAAGCCACTTGTGAAGTTTATTTATTTCAACAATCATAGGCAATCTGTCTGTTCGTGTCTTCACCCCCAAAGCTGGCATAGTAACAAGATGCAAACATTTATGTTTTTCATTATTCATTTCCTTTTTCAGGGATAGATCTGGAACCAGGCAAAGAGGGCGGAACATGGCTTGGAATGAACAAAGATGGAAAATTTGGAGTGATCACAAACTACAGACAAGCGCCAAAGTTTATGAATCGCCAGGCACTTGGGAGAGGCCACCTCGTGCCAGATTTTTTAAAGGGCGATGGTACTGTAAAGGATTACCTTCAAGATGTTAATAACGCAGCTGACAACTATAATGGTTTCAATCTCTTGGTGGGCAAATTATCTCTCACTGAAGAGTCCAGGGTGGGATGGTATTGTAACATTGAAGAGAGAGTCATTACGATGCTGAGGCCTGGAATTCATGTCTTGTCCAATAAGGTGCTGAATTGTCCATGGCCAAAGATGGTGTATGGAAAAGAAAGGTTTGGTAACATTCTGAATGAGGCCAGCACCAAACAAGAGCTTATCGATAAGCTGATCGAGATGCTTAATATGCGTGAGAGGTAAGTTAAATAAACTAGTAATAACCAAAGGGTAGGGAGTGCGGGCGACAACGATCGAAGGTCCAAACGCTTTTGCTCCAACGCTGTGCTTTGCGCACGTTTTACGTGAAAGATGGTCGAAACACGCGTGATGAGGTTACGAGGGGTAGCAGGTCAAAACGCACGTGATCAAAATAATTGGGTTCTGTGAATTTAATTTATTCTTAGTGGACGTCCAAACGAATGCTGGCTACATACATGCGACGCACGCGTAATAACAACCCGGAGGTTAGGATTGCGGGCTCCTCTTGTCGCCGGCAATAAAATAGAAATAGGAGATTGACGTCACGTTATCATGGTAGCAAAATTTCTAGATCTCAACAATCTTTTTTAACAGAGACGGTCATTTATGCAAAATTTTCTTTTGTTCCAACAAATTGCAAGTTACGCACGTGACAGATAGTGAAAACACACGTGATCAGATTACGAGGGGTAGAAAGTTAAAACGCGCGTGATCAAAATAATTGGGTTCTGTGAATTTAATTTATTCTTAGTGGACGTCCAAACCAAATAGAAATAGACGATTGACGACAGGTTATTATGGTAGCAAAATTTCTAGATCTCAACAATCTTTCTTGACAGAGACGGTCATTTATGCAAAATTTTCTTTTGTTCCAAAAAATTGGTACTGTTACTGGCCACGTGAGTGAAAACGCTCTATGTAAAGCAAGCCCTTAAACATCTGTAAATAATGTGACTTCACACTATACCAGATAGCTTTTCTTTCCGACACTTAAAGCTCGAAACCCACACACCTCTGTGGCTTCTGATTGGACGTATCATTTTTCTCACACGTGAAAAAACATAGTTCGCGATTCTGATTGGACGTATCATTTTTTTTTCACGTGTGAGAACCATCGTTCGCTCCTCTGATTGGCTAGAACTAATTTGCGTACGAAAATTTACGACATAGCTTTTTGGTGAGTATTTCTCAGTATGTATATAATAAGTGAATATCCACTTTAAAATGGGCGAGGCACAGCTTGCGTTACAGAAATCGCGCGGAAATCACCATTCCTATGTGTTAAAAGAAGCCATATCTGGTATGGTTTTCGTACATGCGCAAAAGCTATTTTGTAGGGTGTGAACATACTTTAACACTACTATACTATATTACAGATCTTTTTATTGTGGAGATGCTAACAGCTTTATCGGTCCCCAAGACCAAGATCATGACATGAGTTTTGTTGATGCGTGCAGATCAATCTTCGTCGACTATAAAGAGAAACAATATGGAACTAGGTAAACATGTTCAATTAATCTTGGTTTCACTCGAGCAGCAAATGCTGCTTACGTGCAGACGTCTCCTATTTCCTTTTGCACGCGGTTCGCGTGCAAAAGGAAATAGGAGACGCAAATGCTGTAGTTTGCTTGTCTTGTTTTTTTGTTTGTTTCCGTTTTCTTCTCTTCCCACCATATTTCTCCAATAGAGGACATTAATGCCACTGCAATAAAAAACATGATTTTACGTTATGTTTCTAAGAATAAAAAAATACGCTTATGCCCCTTTAAATGAGAATGAAGGCCAGATTTGTCTGAAACCGGTCAAGAACATGACATGCTCCCGGTTCGAAGAAGTACATTTACAATGTACAGCATTATGGCCAGTTCGTATAGGCATCATACGTATCCAATGTTTTGTTTTTTAGAAACAAGAACAAGTAAAATATAAGATGTATAACAAAGAATGTTTTTCATATTATTCCTTATTATGGAACCAATTTCAGTAGAGTTATCATCCTCATATTGGGAGTATGAGTAAACGTTATGGACAGACATTTCACTCACTGCTTGATTTTTTTTTCCAACTCGCCAAACAAAAATACTTAATGAGTACTTCTTGATTGGCGCCACCCAGAGAAACGGTGAAACAAGTCAAACAAAGCTACTTCCCATGGTGCTATTCATTAAAGTGTCAGGTTATACCTACCAATTAACTCAAAAATAAAACAAATAATAAAGTAATTTTTCGGCTATTATAGCGAAAAAATATGTAAAAATAGAAAAGAAAAAAGCCCGGGGCCACTGGCGTATAAACTTCCCGCGGTTTCGAGGTGCGTACACTGCGATTCTAAAGCATGGTTACTGAGTTAGGGTGTTCGATTGTTTTGGCACACGACAAGTGGCACGTTTTTGAATCGGAAAGCGAGCTTGCGTTTGGAGGTATAACGAGGTGTTTTTACTCAATTTATCATTGTATTTTCAGGACAAACACAGTGGTGTTAGTAGATGCAACAGGTCACGCCACATACGTGGAACGCACATTAGAGGATGACGCGACAGACCCGGATGAAGCGGAGTGGAGACTAAGTACCCATGAGTTCGACATCCAAGAGGCCTGTGGTTGCCATGACGAAAATCATAATATCTCTGTTGTATTTAACTCCAGTCTTTAGAAAGAGAAAATGAGGGCATGTTCTAAAACCCGGAGCACCCCGAAAACCTGGCGGGAGTAGAATAGAAACCCTTACCTTAATCTGCAAATATTTTTATGTTATTTCTGTTTGTTTTAATCAATGGTTTATTTCTAGTTATGCCGGGGGTGTTCCACTGGGTTTTAGTAAATGCCAAAAACGAGAAGGAATGTTCCATTAAATGTTAAACATCAACATATTTGGATTTACAACTTCAATTTCGACTTACCCAGGCTGAACGGACTCCTTTCGTGATGTTATTTTCATGGCTCTGTCTATATCAGTTATCCAGCGAAGCTCATTAACGAATTAAGTTTACCGACCTAAGACCACGCCCCGCAAAGGGGGAAAAAGCCAAAAACGAGGTGAAACCGTGAAAAAAATTGGTAAGCGAAGCGAGCAGAGCGGTGCAACTCGGTTCAACGATTTTTCTTTTTCCTCTTTTTACCCCACTGCGGAGCCTGGTCCCACGATATTATTTTACGTTTCTCTTAAACGTAAAAAAAGCAAAAGTATTGAGAAATGACCGACAAATGATTCAAGCAACTATCCTTGAAAGTATTACATGAGGTACTTAAATCAAATCTGTAACATTCGTTCGATTCAGTAATTAAAATAGAGAAAAAAAGACTGTGTTCAGTTGTTGAAGAATTAATAATTCATTCGTAAATGTCAAATGTGTATATGTATATTAAAAACATATTTTGTCATTTTATCCGTTTGTGACTCAAATGCTTATATTTACGGGTAGAAATACCACCCCCAGGGGCCATCAAGGGAAGTTTAGGTAGAGATGTGCCGCTGAAGCCTTCAAAACCTAACTCAGGGTAACAGAAAAATCGTTTATCTCGATACCATATTTCTAAAAGACAAGAGACCTTATATTACGACCCTGATAAAGAATTGACTAACTCAGTTTAAATTAGCATCTAATGGAATTAGGTCTTTAGGGAAAAAAAAAATTGTTGGCACCTCAAATGAACACTTCTCATCGCCAACCTTCAAGCTCTTTTAAGACACTCAGTTCAAGACGCTAAATGGTGACATTGTATACCCTGTGAAAGGTTCTTGAACCCAGGAGTCATTTCATAAGTTGGCTGAGTATGATACTCCGGGTGAACGTAGTCCTTATTAGGACTGTTGTTGTTGACAGTGACTGAGCGGTTTCGACAGCCTGTGCGGTAGTCACCTTCAGAGTCAAAGTGAGTTGTATTACGTCAGTTCAGTGATGGAATTAAACTCTGGTCATTGACTTGACTGGTCAATTAAGTGGCGATGTTATTGGTCGTCTGTCAGTTAAGCCGTGATGTTATTGGCTATATGAAAACTTGTAATGTTATTGGTGCGTTTCGATCCGTCTGTTGTCACAGTTCAACAGTCGTTTATTGTTAGTCAAATTGACAATTGTCTAGTCGTTCTCTCGTAGTTAATTTTGCTTGGTTCCTTACATCTAAGGACACTGCAGTAGTAAATAGCCCACTTCCGAGTTCCAAAAATTCTCACTTTCAAAACGAGCATAAGTGCAAAACCTTTCTTGTGACAATGAGTTTTATTTGCATGAGAAGAGTTGCTGTCATCTCAATGGCTTCGCACTTAGCCTCGCTTTGAAACAGAGGCTCCGGATACAATTCCGAATTCACCATTTTCACATAGGCCATAATGCACCTTGTTCCCCGCCCCCTCCACCCAAATTTTGCATAACCATTACATGACTGAGATGACTGTAATATCCAGGAGAAATACGCAGGAGAAATGAATTTTGGAATTTTTTTTTTTTTTTTTGGGGGGGGGTAAACAAGGTGCATTCTGGCCTATGTGAAAATGGTGAATCGAGAAAAAAGAAAAAAAAAAAGAATAAGATTGGTGTCAGGAATGCCGACGGGTGATTAACATATAATACGTAAGGCGCATTTTAAAAGAAATTTTCAGATAATTTAAAAATTCCTCGAACATTCTATTCCGTGAACATTTCTGTCACGTGGCTAAAACATTTTGTAAGGTCTGTGATGGTCATTGTGATAGGGTAAACTTGCAGCTTGGTACACTGAAGGTCTCAAGACAATACATCATTTACCAAAACTGACTTACCTTTATTGCATGCTTAAACCACAACGAGATATAATAGTGTTTGAAATTACTAACTAACGATATCAAATAATGTTGCCAAGCTATTCCGACCTTCAAAGTAACAAAAGAGAGGTCCAACTCATCATTTCTCCCTCCCTAAGTTCTTCAGTTCACTCCTCTAAACATATATAGTAGAACCCCGGTAACTCGAACTCTGAAGGGAAACGAAAAACAGGTCCGAGTTAGAGAGGGTTCGAGTTAACGGGGTCGATTGCAAAATTCAATTTGCCATCTTATAAATAATTAATAGTTATCAATTTTTTAGTACTTCAGTGTATATCGCCACCTCCCCTTCCCTCCCCACCCCCTCCATGCAGTGCAAATTTAACTTAACTCAACAGAGGTGGTAACACTGAATTTTTTATTCAAGGAAATTGAATTTAGCTCGAGTTAGCCGAGAATTCTAGTTAATGGAGTTCGAGTTAACAGAGTAAAAATGACAGAAAAGAGGGGTGAAATCCAGGGGAGATTGGTTTTAGTTCGAGTTAGCCAAGAGTTCGAGTTAGCCAAGAGTTCGAGTTATCGGGGTTCTACTGTATGAAGAGAGATTGAATTGGTCAAGGGCTTTTAGTCTGTGGGTTTCTATAGGCCACAAGGGACGAAATGTTACAAACTAAAAGATAAATTCTAGCTAATTCTTTGTTTTAAGAAAGCACAAAGAAGTGCAAGAGATTCTCCCTACAGCAGAAACTGTGAACAGAAATGAGAGAAATGATTTTAACCAATCTTTTGCAATTGTACATCGTTTGGCGTGAGATTTTCGCGGATATTACTTTGGCCTGGCGGACAAATTTGCAACTATTCAGGTGTTCACGTGGGCAATTGACGGGCGTGATCTTGTTTCCCCTTCTCTAGAGAAAAGCGTCGTAAAACGCGTGTATTGGACCTCAAATCATTCGGGAAGTAAAAGAATTAGAACTTTCCCATTGTTCTCTCGGAATTTAGTTTTACGGAACGTAAATTCTCAGATTTGTGGAAAAATATATGAAATTCGCGGAACTTAGTTCCGGCGAAAATTTTACGCCATGCGATAGCTTAAAACTTTTACCTTTCTAAATCCTAACTTTTTTGCACGCGGTTTACGCAGTGATCATTGAGAATTATTGTTAGCGTAACAGAGTGCAAGTTTCATTAAAATTCCCTCAGAAAGGTTTTAATACAATACTTTAAAAAAGAATAAAAAAATCAAATTGAAAAAATCAAAACTAAGAAATGCAAAAAAGTAAAGAAGAGTATGAATAAAGGAATCACTTATCTATGATATTACGTCCACACGCAAAACCAAAACATTCCCATTACATCTATAAACCGAATTTTCGGTATAACACCATTATGACCTACAGGTAACCACAATATCTGTAAAATATATCATCTTATATCTACAGTAACTGCTATGGTCCCTTACACTAGCTTTAGTTATTCGATTAAGGTTTCATGCAACATTGGTGCATATCTTGTTGCCCTGACAGTGGATGGGACACAACCCCGTGTAACAACCCTTGAACAAACCTGTCGCACAATGTTTAAAAGCGCTGTATCACTTTAGTCTATAGAGCGACAGCGTGTTCACACGCTGTCACGGCGGCCATATTGGTGTTCCAAAACAATGAAACGGCGACCACGTTGGTGTTCTAAACCAATCCTGTGGGAGTTAAACTCGTTTCTAATGTAAACGCTTGACATAGATGCTGGCCACGTTCGCCCTGTTCTATTTTGTTGATAGGGACCATGAGATCTGAGGACAGCGACGGCAGCGAAAAGACCTCGCCTAAAAAATGAATTCGCTTTCTTTCCATCTTCATAGCACCATTCATTTCTCAGTTTTCCTGAAAAACACAGCTTGAAATTCTTTTAAATTTTCCTCAACTTTGTCCATCCCCGTGCCTTTTTGTAATTTTTTTACGCCACATTTTATGTGTTTTGCTTGATTAGCTGGTCAGTTCCCAGTGCCTTGTATTGGCCAGTAACCCATTTTTAAACTGGTGAAATATTTTCAGTTCTCTTACCAGCATCATGTTGCATCTGTTTGAACATATTTTTGGGGGGCTGATGTTAAAGAAAGGTTGGATCAGGTTCAGATGACCTGAAACTTCGTCCTCGAATAATGTTGGATTGATCGAGCTGCATCATCATAGTAGATTCGTTTAATCGGGTCCCTTAAGGTGCTTTAATCGCTGCAGAATGTAAGTTAATTTTAATTTAGAGGGTGTTACACGGAGAAATTCTTTCCGCCAATTTGCGTCGCACCAAAACTGTGAGAAAAGTTGCAAGGAAAGTCATCCATTGTGTAAAAAGGTGAATCACTGTACTTTAGTAATTACTGTATATCATTTGCACGCCTCATCATGCCATACACCAACAGATCAGAACGCCCACGTTTGAAAGTTCGGAAAACGTGTTTGTGGTGCCTCTTAAGTAGCCATATGCTCTCACAAAAAATGTTATTCTTCCATTTGGTAGAAAATTTTACACGGTTTTTCTATACAAAGTGAAGTACTCTGTACTTCCAGAGAATCTAATCTGTCCAGAAGACCAGGTGAAATTAGAGCCAAAATGTCTATTGTTTCTCTATTGCTGGTCAAGCATTATAGTTCTAAATATCCTTTACATTTTTGTTACCGTGCTTTCCTGATGCCATTACTTATTTTGTCGGTAAGACTGGCTGCAGCCGCAGTTAGTGCGAGACTGAAGCAGCCAGTACCAAATAACACATCCTCGATACCTTCTTCTAGAGACTAGCGCTCTAAAACAATATATAAAAATCCCATCTGGAAATAACAATAACCAGGAACTACCCGAGTAAAGATAAGCTACGCTGTTGTTTTACTACATTCAAGTATTTTGCAATCTATTGCTTTTGTTATTAAGACTTCACTGGAATATCTTCCTTTTTTTTCATTTCAGTTATAAAAGCCCGCGAGCAGGCTCGCTGTTGGGGAAACAGGGGCCCGTTTCTCGAAAGTCCCGGTAACTTTACGGGCCCGAAATCAAATATTCAAATCGAAATATAAAGAATAAGAGCGCGGGTCCTGGCCAGCAAACTACTCCATTTTGTTTCATTAACTGACAGTTTTATCATGTTAGATGCAAAACTATTGAAACCTCGATCTTTAATGTAAACGGAGACAGCTTACCGGGCCCGTTAATTATCGGGACTTTCGAGAAACGGGCCCCAGGACCCGAAACAACGACGGCGACGGCAACGAGAACTTCAAAAAAGCAGTAGTGTATTGAGCAAAACAACAACTTTGCACGTGAGTCACACGTTTTGTACGTTTTTTTGTCGTCTTTGCCGTCACTGAACGACTTTCTTTCTTTCTTTTCTGCACTTCAGTGCGGTCCCCAAGAAATCAACTCCAAGTAGACTTGCTGTATATTTGACATTAGAGACATTTAGCATCATGGTTTTCGCTTTAACGGAAAACCGCAAACGGCAGTTTCAGGTCGGGCGTTTGACGTTTGTTATATACCTTAATCTCAAGCAAATTCACGTGTAAAGCAAGTGAATTATGAGCGAATCAACGCGACAAATTTTGAAAAAACCGAATTCATTCGAAGTGATGTTTGACGCTGCCGTCGCCGAAATAGAGAGCTTGCTCGCAGGATAATCAGTTGGTCATTAAATTGCGACTTAACTGGCTTACGCTAAGGTTGTTTGGTGGTTTTAGAGGCATTTAGCAACACGCATTTCCCTTTTACCGCTGACGTGAAAGCCCGGGTTTATGTCTGGCGTTTGGTGTTTGAGGTTCGATCCATTCTCCACTTTAGCATTCCGTCAACGTTGCGTCAAGGATTTTAGCCTCTATTAGAGTAAAAAATTATCCCTTATCGAGGAATAGTTTGGACAGTCTAAGTCAATTAATGAGCAAGTGAGATCACACTTAGGATAACAGGCTTTTTCTATTGCAGAAAAACCCACAGAAAGCAAAGTACTAAAACAACACGTCTTTACTTGAGGCCGTCGCCATATTGAATTTGCGAACAGCAGCAGTGTTGTTTTTAATTCAACCAGAAATAAATACGCGCTCGGTTTTTGGTGTAAAAAGACTCCTAAACATGTATAAAAAAGCTTGCTCCGCACAATTAATGGTTACATGTTTACGTGGCCAAAATCGAAATTTACTGCTCAGTTCCCTCAGGTAAATGACTTAATCGAAAACCTACCTCTCCGCGTTCATAACCCGCGTTGAAAACCTCAAACGTGACCAAAAAAGCTTTATCACCTGGTCCCCAGCCGTTTGCCGTTAGCGGTTTTCGCCTAAAAACGCGTTTGTCACAGTTGTAAATAACCTTCAATAATTTCGCGATCCAAAACGGATCGACTGATTCTGTTATTAAATTATAACGTAATTAGGTATAAGTTTAAAAGAGAGTAAGATATCGTGGTGAAAAATTGCTTTTGCTTTTAAGCAAAAAAACTAACTATTGTCATCGCTAGCTCAATCGCGAAATAATGCACTGAAAATTTCCGCCAAATTTCGCTTGCTTGCTTCTTTATTTGTTTACTCCTTAACAGCTTTGCAAAGGGCATACCACGCAACACACTCAACGTTCTTCAGTCTTCTTTAATTCCCGAGCGTCTTTTGTCAATTTTGTCAATGGAAGCACTGTCAGTGTTTATGGAATCTTTAAAGAAAGAAATTAATAAAAGTTGATATTAAGAGTAATAATGACTAAACGTGAACCTGACCGTTACCATAACAAAGCGATTTTCAATAGGCCTCTTCCGAGTTCCAAAAAACCCTCACTTTCAAAATGAGGCCAGGTGCACAACCTTTCTTGTGAAAATGCATGGGTTTTATTTGCATGACAATGAAAAATCATTTCCATATCAAAGGCGAAGTATTTAACCTCGTTTTGATACAGAGGCCCGGGGGAACTAAGAAATGGCCTATTTTCATGAAAGGAAGTTTTGGGAACAAAGTACAGGACAAAAAACAAGGAAGAAAGATAAAACCACTGGCGGATCCAGGGGAGGGGCCCGGGGGACCCGGCCCCTCCCCCTTTTTATCTCAGGGTCTGGATGACATGCGTTATGTTATGATTAATATCTTACCACAGCAGTGCTTCTTCAAGACATTAACAACATCCATGCGCTCCATCTTGACCAGAGTTCGTACAAAATCTCTCATTGTAAGACCTGGACAAACCTGAACGATGAACTGCATCAGGTTCCTAGACGGACTTGGATATTCTTTAGTCGTCAAAGATATTTTATTACAGGCATCTCTTGAGATATCTAACTTCGAAGCAAAATGGCGCCAGTTTTTCCTTCCTGGCGTGTCTTTATCCAACAAGACTGTAACCTTCTCCAGTCGCTCAAGGTCTTCAAGCAGAGTTTCAACGGTGTCGTTTTCTTCATGAATGGGAGAAAATGAAATGAAAGTCATTGGTTTCTTTTAATTTGCTTTACAAGAATGAATACGTTGGGTTGTTCAAGAGTTCACGATTCTTTTCACTTTTACATTTTTTTAGGCATGACTTTTCGCATAATATTCGTATGACTGACCATTCACTTCAAAGAACGAAACACTGTCAAGCCAAGGGGAAACTCTGCGATTCACAATAATCACTGAGACCGTCAGTTTGATCTCAAAAAGAGCACAAACCTCTAAGCTCCTGATCGTGATCGTGACATCTTTCAATCAAAACAACGAAAAAAGGGTGACAAAACAACCTCATACTAAAAGCACCCGTAACAAAATTAGCAGTCCCAGAGAAGGAGGGGGTTGAGGAAACCAGGTAAGTCCACAAATATTATTAGGCTTCGTTTATATTGATAAAAGTTGTCCTAGAAGGGTCACCCGCCTACCCGAGCTATCCTGTGTGAGCTAATTTTCATACATTTCTTTACAAAACGTAGTGAACCGTCTCTATGAGAAACAAAAAGTTGGCTCAGCTAGAAGGGTGACCCGCCCAGTCGGGTCAATCTTTTGTAATGGTATGTTCACCCTCCTAGCCAGGCAAACGTTTCTCCATATAAACACTTTGGCTATCCCAGCCAAGTCAACTCGGTCAAGGTGAGACAATCAGAGCATGCCCGAGCCGCTGCTCCTTCGAACAAAGGGGCCGTCAACTTTTTTTCGCATATAAACGCTCGCTAAAGTTGACTCGGCTGAGAGGGTGACCTATCTACCAAAGACAAGTTCTTTCCAAAAAAGGAGGAGCCTCGGAGGTCAGAGAAAGCGCATGTTTTTGTCAAATATTCTTGAAGATCCCTTGGTTTTCTGTTTCAATCAGTGTTAGAAAGGAAAGCAGATTAAAAAATACCTGAAAAGCACTCCAGTTCTTTACAGACATCGTTTCTTTCTATTTCTTTCAAGACAACTCGAATCGTTTTCAAAGGCAGCCCATGGTTTTGCGTTTTCAAGAGTTCAAGGACGGCTTCTGTAAAGCTAAAAGGAGTCTCGATTCGCAGCAAAGTTTCAGTTGTAAGGTCTTTGGGCCACTTTTGGCCCAAAGCTTTCCACTGCCTATCAATGTCAAGCTCAAGACAGAGGCTTTCTAAGGTTCCCGAACGGTCTTGAAGGAGGTCATCTAATGTTGCGGAATCTAATAAGAATGACGCATAACTAGTTAAGCATTAACAAAATTCGTATAACTGCCCTCCCCTTTCACAAAGCTCGTTGAGAAATTCATAGAATGTAGTATCATAAAAAGGGTCATGTCATTATATCGTTGGGTGAGGTTAAATTTACAAAAATGTCCTTACACTTTGAAGTTTCACACTGGCATTTTTGGAAATTGCGCTCGATATTTGTTTTTTTATAGTGTAAGGAGCCACGGGTCAATTTTTTCTTAAACGGCCAAAAGGTGCGATGTGCCCTTAAAGGACACGCGACAACTGGCCTCTGCCTCTTATTGACATGGATGTTAATGTACCCATGTAATTTTTTGGGATGAGTGGTAAATAATATATTTATCTACTTCTTCTGTTTTGAGGTTAAAATACCAGATTCAAAAACAGTAGTACTGTTCTCACCAGGAGATTAACTGCTAAGGAATTTACAACTTACTAGGGAAACGGGATTGTTCCAACAATTTCACAAGATCGTTTCTTTGAATGTCTCGAAGTCCCTCTATGAGTTTACTGATGAGAAAGTCAGGTTGTTTGGATTTGAGGTGTTCGAACATGTTTCTACTAGGACTATCTTCAGAGGCAAGCTGGCACTTTTTTGCAACGTCTTGTGGCAAGTTAAATGCTTCGCGGAATTCTTCAAAGAGATGCTTCCAGTACTGGATCAGAGGCAGTTCTTGACTACCATGACCGATTGAGGGCCGATCTAATGCATCCGCGAGCTCCTGCATAGCTTGCACTCTATCCACAACCTTCTCCTTCACTAGGGAATCTGTAAAATTTTAAGAAAATAATTATGCTTTCAGGCATGCACTGATTTTTACGGTAGTCTTCAAAAACATAACACTTAAAGTTATCGAACTTTGCGTGCTTTTTATGTATGGACCAAAGTGTTTCAAACGACCAGAGCTTGAATGTCAAAAAGTGTATCAGCCTGCTTTAGAGTTGTATAAGAAGAGTAGAAGGGGCGAAAAACGAGAGGTCAAAAAATCTAAGTAGATTGGAGAAGAAGTCTTTCGTCTCCCTTCCCGCCTCGCCTTAAGCTCTACCAACTCCACCCCCATCCCCCACTCCTTCCAAGCGGACTTTTTAGGACTCTGAAGTGGCCGAGCAAATCTCTCCAAGCTATAATCTCGTTCCACTTGAGATTAAGAACAAAGTAAAGCAGTCACCTTCATCAAAGAGACTCACGATTTCATCAAAACTCTGTTCCTGTTGAAAAGAATCAAAGTATTATGAGAAAATGAGAAATGAGAAAAATTACCATGCACTCTTGGGATTCGATTTAAAAAGTAGACAGACGGAACAGAATTATTCAAAAGTAAAGAACCATTCTAAAATTTCAATCAAGAGAGGAAATTAATTAGTTTATGCCAATTCCCATCATTATGTTACAACAAAAGAAAACACAAATGTGAGTACAAAACCGCATAAAGTACAGCACATCATCCTTTTAAGGTTTGAACCACCCGAGTACAGTGGAAGCTCACTTTCCGGACACCCACTTAATATGGACACCTAATTATTCGCAGTAATTGGGGAGAGCTCCTACAAGCTTTTCGCTAAATTCAACCCACTTCATATAGACGCAGTAAAAGAAAAAAAAATTAAGTTAACCTCACCATTACAAACACTATATTTAATCAATAGTTTGTTGAAATGAGTAATAGTCTAGATAAATAATTAATTTTAAAAAGAAGTATCAAAACATTTCATCATGATAGACTATGCACCTAAAGTTTATTTTCAACGCAAAAGCTGAAAAATTGTCAACATTGAAAAATAGGTAGCCGCAACTAATATATTTTAGGGTTCAAATTTGATATCATTTCATACCTGCTTCCTTAGGGATTTAAACCAGAATGCAAATCCATCAACTGGAACAATTTCTTCTTTAGCCAAAGTATCCTTCCTGCAAATTCGAGCTTGCTCATCCTGCAATTCGGTCTCTGACCGGAAGTGAAGAGACTCTTCTTCTTTACAGCCTTTACAATAGTACTTGCCTGATCGTTGCTCACAGCAAACAGGGCAGATTACACTAAATTCCCATTCTATGGTTTTCAACCAAAAGCACTCTTCACGCAAACTTTGAAGTACTGTTTCTAACTGGTCTAACACTCTATCACAATCTGCTACATCTGGCTTTTCACTTGAAGAAACTGGATCTCCGTAAACCACAACCTGGACAGAAGAGGAATTGCAGCAGAGAATTATTGAGTATCCTTTGGAGCCGAAAGGAAATCTAACAAAGTTCTGGTACATGTCTTCGTACAATGGTGTAAACTGCATTTGGTTGCACCAAGCAAGAAACTTCACTACAAGTCGTTCAAACAAACCAAGGGGCACTTGAACACAATCTGGACAAGATGGTCGTCTAAATCGAATGAAAAGATGAGGAATTTTGGCGGGTAAAAGCAGCTCGTTTGCTTTATCACCTGGGGGAGACATCAACATAGATGGTACAAGATACTGCTTTCCCTCGCTTTCCGAAGGCAAAGGACACAACAGGCAAAATTTCTCCATAATCTCAATAAGGATCTCTTTGGTCTTATCTCTTTCAATGAGGGGCGGCCATACAACCTGTATAAGCTGCTCGTCCAGGACACCTTTGTCTTGAAGCTTTTTCCACAATTCTTTATACTGCGGCTTATCTGATTTACGGTCATGGCGTTTGACGGTGATCACGTTCCTGAACAGTTCAATCAACCATTGGGGGTCTAAAATCACCAAGTCTTTCAACTTGTCCGTGTCATGAAAATTTATCAAAATTCTCTGGTCATGTAGGAAGATTAACGAAGTTACGAACTGTTGCTCGTCATCAATTCCACAATTTGTTTTAGCTATTCTCCTAGCTTCATCAAGGAAGATAAACGGCTCATCTTTCTTTTTGAGTTCCTCTTCAAAAAGCAGCCACTTGATCGGAATGGTCTGCTGCATGTGTGGAAGCTGCTTTGCAATTCCAAGGAAACTCTTTAATTCCTGGACATCTGTGCACTCATCTGCACTACCAGACTTGGTGTTGTCCACCACAAAGTGCTTTTCGGACAAATGCTTACTGTACGTTTTTGCCTTTAGAGAGCCATATACTTTGCCAGCTTTTTCCTCGGCTGACTCACCGACCTTATCAGCGTGGGTACACACTAAGATAACTGGCGGCAGCTTCTCTGGCAAATTTTCAGGGCTTGTGGACTCCGAGTTCCCCGTAGTTTGGCTTTCTAAAGCAGCGACCGAGGACAGCCAACAGCGAAGATAATCTCCATTGGTTTTTCCACAATCTCTGTCTTCCCTAGACTCATAAACACCTTGCTTTTTAATGGCATCGGCTTTGCCGTCTGGATCTTTGCTGAGATCGTACACCAAAAGGTAAATTGCTTTTCCGGTGAGAAATATTGGGTGGGTGGCATAGTAAACTAACTGTCCACCAAAGTCCCAGAGAGTGAAATAAATTTTATTCTCATCTTCCCTGTAAGCTTCATCAGAAATTTTCACAAAACAAGCCACCGTTTTTTCTGGAACTTTTTCAAAGCGATTTTTAGTGTTTAATTTTTTGTCAGTCTCAAACAGCTTTTCTGATTGCTTTTCAGCCGGCTCAGCAATATTCTCTTCAGATTGCACAAGAGTGCCTGCTTTAACATCTTCTAGCTTTGGACTGTTTGGAGAAACAATGTTGCGGTCACTCTTTCCTAAAGACGATTCGTTCTTAGACTTTTGCCTAATTTCCTCTGCCATAAATTTTGCTGCTCTATTATGAAAAGAAACTGCAGTTTCAACATCTTGCTGCTCTTTTGTCTCTTCTAAACTCATAACATCATTAGTCACAATGAAGTAAGAAGGATCGAGTTCGATCCCATCAGTACTTGGCTCTTCTTCATTGAAGATTTCTCTTTTTAAAGACTTCTTTAAACTGGTCTTTCCAGATCGCGCTTGTCCAATGAACATAATTGGCACCCTCATAACACGGTTTTTTCCCTCTTTGATAGCCTTGTTGTAGGCAGCTACGTGCAAGGGACCTCTAGCGACAAGTTCTGGAGGGACTAAAGACAGAATATCCAAATTAATTGAACTGATATTAAGCGCAGGTCGCCATGATTTTCTCTGAAAATAAAATTAAGTTTTCATTCGTATCTGTAAGAAACAAGTAATGATCCGCATTTTCAAATAGCTTGTTCTTAGCTCGATAGATACTTCTCAGCTCAAAGGATGTTCTTTGAGAACATTGAACCCGACAAATGGAAACTAAATTATACATTAATATATATGCCCTCAGGAATGACGTTTTCAATCCGTGGATGTCTCCTTCACACATATTTCACCACCGTTACCACTACAAGTCAGAGAGCACTCATTTTAAACACTGTCTTAGAACCAAGCATAACAAAATTGTCAGAAGTTTGCACCTCACCACTAATAGATTCGGTTTTGTCAGGCAAACTGTCAGCAGAAGTCTCCAGTGGATTTGAATGTTGAGTTACTTGGAATTCAACTTCTCTGAGTTCTTGTTTTACTTCGTCTTTTCCTGCATCTCCAAATGAACTTTTTGATTTCCCCAAAGAAACAGTAATTGCGTCCTATAAATTTAAAAGCATTTTAATACTGTGAATAAGGTTAACTGACAAGCGTAGAGTCGGGGCAAGCAAAACAGAAATCATAAAAAACCGGTTATCGTGGAATTATAACTTCAGATATCATCAGTATAAGGTAAGCATACTGTCCCATTAACTTTGCGAATTTAATCCCTTGAAGGACTTTTATAACAAGTAAATTTTAACTAGCTAGCCTCTAGGCCTCATTACCGATGGACCGATGGGTTTCGGGTTAGGTGGTCAAAGCAAGCATTGACCGAGAAGGCCTGTAAAGACGCCGTTCAAGGACAAGGCAAGGTAAAATTCGGCAAACTGAAAATTCAGGGAAGGGGGTTTGAATTCAGCCTCAGGAGAATTACAAGGTTGAATAACTGACACGATGAAATGCTGATAAAGATGAACATAAACATGAAGTTTTAAAAAGAATTGTCCTCTTAATCTGAAAAAAATTCACACACTAGCAACCGAAGACAGAAAAAAATGTTCATCTTAAAACGAACAAAAAACCGTTGACCGGTAAGAACGTATTTCTGAAATGAAATACGAAGAGTTTTAACCAAGAAAACACCAAACTCGACCATATCAAGATACGACTTTTAAAAGTTTTAAGAATGAGATGGCGAAATGAGTCACAAACAAACCTTCTTACCAGTTTAATGTCCTTTGTAACGCGTTGCAGTTAGATTTAACGACACTTCACACCGTTTTTTACCAGCTGTGGGTATTTCTTTCCTTGGATAGCCGCATTACGAAGGCAATTATACGCTTAAGCCGTATACTTCAGTCTTTAACCAATGATAAAAGGCTACTGTTCATGTTTTAAACATTACTTCAAAAACTCATTAATAATTCATAACGAAAAAAAAATTTAAAAAAAGTTTAATGGTATTGAATGTCTCTATATATGATAAAGACACCGCTAAACTATACGTCCAATTTTTTAGATCAAAATAACCCCAAATCTAAATATTAATTAGTGCAAGAAAGAGTTGATCTGTATCAGAGACTTTGAAGCCGTTCAAAAAACTCGCAGTCGTGTGTTATAAGGTTTAAAAACTCTCTACTTTGCCTCGATTTTTTAAACCTGATAATGCACTCCGGCTCGTGTTTTAAACAGTACATGACTAAAATAGAGAGTACCAACATTGCGTTCTGATCGATCTAGAGTTGCGTCCTATGTCGCTACAATAATTCCGCGTAAGGAGTTAATGAACTAAGACCCTTTTACTTTTAAATCCGCGACTTGTTACAAAATGTACTTTACACGAGTTAAGGTGTTTAAGTTTCTAGCGAAACTGCGGGACTGCGTCAGTGGAGGAGTAAAAACAAAATTTACCACCACTGA